CAATTGACAGAACACTCATTCGGAGTAAACTTAAAAGGCATTGTCTTAGTTGGATGTACCTACGAAATGACTAAAAGAAGCGTGCACGAACAACTGTAAACAAAAATGAATGACGCATGCACGAACAGCTGTCAAAAAAAAACGTATCAAAAGAAATGATCTATACTTATGAAAAGACTTGGGACACCCGGTATAGGTCCTAAAAATTGCACCACTACTTAACTTTTAGAGATTGACATGGACTTCTACCTTCGTTTAAATATTGTTTCATTGAGCATTAGCCCCGATATGAGTTACGCCACTGCCTCTTCTTACTAAGGACGTAGCCAGTGAATGGGGATACTGGAAAATCTGTTACTGGTTGCTGTATTATAGTGGTACTGGTAGAACCTCTTAGTTACTTCCGCTCGTGACATTTGACCGCGGTAGCACGTGGACATAGTACGTCGAGCAGTTGTCTCTATACACTTTTCCGCAATGGGCGCAATATACCGCCCTATAAGGACGTATTTTGTTTCCTTTTTGAATAGGAATGAATTTGAATGATGAACACTTGAAACATGCTAGGTTTTTGGCAGATAAACTGATGGAAAAATTAATTGGTTCCCCTGAATATTTCATCTTACAAAATCAAATATTTTGAAAAATAAAAAAATAATAGGTATACATTTTTTTATATCATAATACATCATAACAATAGCCAGAAAAGTAGTTGTTTTCTGTTGAATATTCAGAATGATATTATGTGCATATCTTTTTGCAGATTTTGTTTTCAAATTCTTATCGTGTGTTTTCAATAGACATAATTCAATGTTCGCCGTGGCATATAGCCAGGAAAGTAGTTGTTTTCTGTTGAATAAACCGAGAAAGAATCGATATTTTCATCACATAGAGAATGCTTTATCTTTGGACTTTCTCTTCCTCCGGCAAATTTCAGAACCCTACCTCAATAATTACGTGAGATACGGGGGTGCTTCCATGAAAATGCGACAAAATTTCATTTTTCCGAACTGAAAATTTTCCAGGAAAAATTTGAATAGTTAGTAAATTGGGCGTCCTGATTCCAAATCTGAAGTGATTTTCGACCTATTCTGACTCCAAATATCATTTTCCGGAAATTGGGGTAGTTTCATGGCGAGCAGTGTATATCACTGAAGATGGCCCCACTTGGTCATAGAGTGCATTTTTCGTATATCTCTCGCTCCAGCAAATTTCAGGGTCCTTACCCAACGATTACGTAAGATACAGGGGTGGTTCCATTAGAAGTGGGTCACACTGTATATATATCCAGTTTTTATGTTCATAATTAAATCTGAGAATATTCCTTTTCAATACTGTCATCCAATCAAATTTGAACGATGAAAACTTGTTATTTTTATAGACTTTCAATCGAAGATTCGTGATTAGGTATTTCTCAATTCAGAATTTCTTTGCACGTCCTGTATGAAGAATTTCAATTTATCATACATCCAAAAATTATTATCGATAATAATTGTTTATCAGGTGCCAGGCGGATTCAATTTCTTAACTAGATATCAAAATTTGAATGGACTTCATAAGTGGCACCTATACAGGGTGTTATTTAATTGATGGCTTAAAATGAAGGATCATTCAGCTTATTTCATGAAGAAACGTTCATATGAACATATGCCCTGAGCCACTGAACTTCCCAGCTTTAGGGTGTTTAAATTTGAGGAAAAAAAAATCGTTTCCTCATCATGACTTCTATACTGTTCTGAATATTTTCATGAAATTCGACATGCACCTACAAAGCACCAATAGACTTTTTTATGCAGGCGATTTTTTAAATATTGTTACCAGTGGCGTCCGCATGGGATTTATTCTAGAGATTTTTCTATAAAATTTCATTTTATGAAACACTAGTCAATAAGGAGATAGTCACCTCTGATATAATTAACCGGAATTCACTGTTCTGATGCGATATTCGTAGAGATGGCACTTGAATCTGGTAGGTATTTATATCAATAACGACTTGTCATATTATGCTGTCATGGTTGTCATGGCTACTAGATTTTAATTAGAATTGAAAAAAGTGCTTCTATAGTGACAATAGGTTCATATTTCAGTTTCACAGAACAAAAATAATTGAAATGTATCACTAGTGGTGGAAAAAAATGTAATAGGTATACACCTTGGTAGTAAATATATCATTACCACGAGACCGATCGGCTGAAGCCTCTTGGTCTCTGGGTAAGCTGATATTCTTAACTATAGCTTGTTGGATAAAGAACTATTTATTCTTTCCTCAAGAATGTGTTTGTATATACAGAGTGTCCCTGGAAGGTTTGTACAAAATGATACCACCCTGAACGTCAATTTGAAAAAACTCTCTGAATGAAATGGAGGTTCGAGTAATAGTTAATTACCTCATTTGAAACGTCTTCCAAGTCTTTATACAGAACCAGAAGAAATATTGATAAAAAAAATTCCAGTCCTTCGTAGGATACTGATGATTACATCATTGCGATATTAATCCCAAACTAAATCATAACGTATTTGGCCAATCGTCATATTTTGATGATATCATGATTCTACCATTACTCTGTCTCATTATGAATTACCCTGTATACATTTTTTCAATAGGCATATACAGAAAAACGGTTCAGAATTGCTGATCTTACTGAACGCATAGCTTTCAGTCGAATACATATTCCTCAAAACCCGTAACCATTGGGGTGAATTATTTTCCTTTAACTACTGCATGTCTCACAGACTCCAACTATCAGATAGCGTTATCAAGGTACTAAAAATTGAAATAAGTGCAATCTCAGTGTAACACTATTATAGGATTAATGATTTTGGAAGTTATTATCACCAATTCCAACAAATAAATATTGTCAATATAGAGGGTGGCATTGGGATAAGTGCAAATATTTCAAACACTGGGAAAACTCGACGTGTACTATCGAATTGCACTGATAAACAAAATGTAGGGATCAAAATAAAATTTGAGGTTAGACCCCTTCTTCCACCCAAAGTTCGACACTGTAGCAAATCTGACGTCACTGCTGTTCAAATTTCCATGCGTTAGGCACAATCACGCAGAGTTCAATCATTTGAATTTTTTTAAAGTTTCGTACTTGATTTTTTTCTCGTATTTTGTTCAATTTTTGGGATGAAATTTCTCGTTAATTAGAAGAATTATAAAAAATCTGATATCATGGGAATATTCCTTAGACTGTATCATATTAATGTGCACTTATTCCAAAAACACCTTGTATAATATTAAAATCGAATAATCTAATATTTCGAAAACGGTAATCAATAGGTATGGTTGGATGGTGTTAGCGGCTTTAACAGAAGTGCCTAGAGGTGCTACCACCGTCCATGTGCGACATGCTCATTGCACCTGACTGTACATATAGGGAGAATATTGAAATAATGATTCCACCTTCATTTGTGCCGATTAATTGAAAAAAAAAGGATAGAATATACAAGGTTTATATTTGACTTTGATGCCTGGATCATTTTTCTAACATCCTTTATTTCCCGTAATTTATTATGTCATTGTATAACGGCTGTCGAACGAGTTGCAAATCATTTCAGAATGTTTAATGGTTTACCATCAAATATAAACCGCTTGAGGCATTCTACAGTGTGTCCAGTTTTCGATGCTTTTGCGCCTTATATACCTACTTTTTTTACGTATAGCCAAAATATTTTTTTTCGAATGGAAAAATAAATCAACTATTATATATTTTTGATGAGCTATAAGAAATCTGAATAGAACTGGATAGAAACATACAGGTTGTCACATTTGAAAAAAAATTACCTTCATCTTCTAAAAATGAGATGTTTTCATCCTACCGATAAGTTGAAAAGGAACCAAGATACGGAAGGTGCTCGAAAAGTGAGAATTTTCAACTCCACCCTGTATCTCAAAAACATAAAGGACTGTGAAATTTCGGTTTACGGCGGAAAAGTATGGAACAATGAACACATTGATGAACTATTTATTGAGTGGGAAATTTTAAAAAATTAAGGCATTCAACATCCTTTCAATCATGGTAGATATATGGTATACATAGGTACATATGCCGTTATTTTTTCATGCACACCAAGGCTGTTTAGCGCTCGGATTTGCGGGCGTGAAGTAGCACTTTAGCGCCCTAGGGCGAAAAAGGAGTACGGTGGTGATTTCACTGGTTTTCCAGTAATTTTTAGTAACGACCAAAGGATCTATTTCACCAGTGGCATGCATACTTTGGCCAGATGAATTCAAAAACATAAATAAAATCCATATATTGACAGTAAATAAATGTCTAAAACGGTTGTGCTTCAAATTTTGTATGTATTTCTCGTACCTTTTATTGCTATTTTACGCTCTTGATACATAAATAACTAGGAGAACACCAAAATCGTTACATTCATAGTGCAGCGTTTTTGAACCTTATTATACATATTCACTGACATATTGTTTGTTGTATATTTTTGTGGAAAGAGGTCAGGTTAGCTCAAGATATGGAAGTTTAAGTAAGGTTAGGACGTGTGAGTTCTGGTTTCAGTAATGTTTAATAACACTTTTTTCACAACGAACATAATCATTTTCTCACGTTTCGAAATTTTTAATCTGATAGTTTTAAAAATTATTTAGGTAACGCTATATTTTTTCAACATTCTGGTCAAAGTGATATTATGCAGAATGAACATATCCGGTCAACTCATATTATTTATATTTATGGTGAGTATATCTTCAGATTGCAACACGAATTTTTCACTGATAGTAACGATCCCAGTTCATCAATTTTCAATATATTATAGGCTAGCCCTCTTTCCTCAATGTTTTAAGGTCAAGGATTTGATTGTAAAATATTATCAGAATCAATCAAAACAATGAAGAAATTCAAAATATGGGAATATGAGAACGTTTTTTTCAAGAGAGAAACATAATATTCACTTTCATAATTTTCATTCCACAGTAAAAAACTGAGTAGTTATCATGTAACTATATAAGGTTCGTCATGAAAATGAAGAAAAAATAATATTTCAATGTGTTTTATTATTCATTATCATTGCTCAAAGCACTATCTATAATACCCATATTCTATAATACATATCTTTGATTGTTTGCTCTAGCTAATACTTATGAAAAAAAAGTCTAACCTATTTACAAGTCAGTCTTAAGGTCGTGGCCCCAAATATTATACAACAAATAGATTATAAATATTATGTTCAATTGGAATCTGATCAAAATATTTTCACAATATTTTTTATTTCAAGGCTCGTAAACAATATTTGGACTCATAGCTGTCTAAGATAATTTACAAATAAATAAAGTCTTTAAATACACATAAAATGGCACAATCGCTCAAAATTTCTACCCGAGTCTCTACCCGTATCATTTCCGAAAACTTATGCTACAAATAAATTGCACAATAATTACAAACACACCAAACTAGAATAAAAAAAAATCTGCGTGACTAGATTATAAAATCTAAAATATTCAGTAGGTAATCATGAATCAACATTGATGTATGATTTATCAGTCTTATGAAATTTCCCCTAAGAATGAGGGGTACGTGCAATGTGCAAAAAGAAAGAAACCTTATCCTTGCACTCTTCACCACACATATTACATGTGAATGGATTCTTGTATCCATGATAACCCATATGCATGGTATACAAAACAGGCTCTCCAAACTGTATTTGACAATACTGACAACTGTAGTCGTCTTTATTATTGTTATTCAAAACTTTTTCTTTTTCAGCAGAAGTCTCCATCGCCTCCTCGTCTTCAACCACTTCCACGTTAGCGAAAATGGTGGTAGTAGTTTCTTCCTCACCTTCGGAAGAATGATCGTGATGTGTTTTGAGTTTAAAAGCACGGCCCTTGCGTCGATTCTTCTGAGCCGGTTCTTCGGGTTTACTCAGATCTAAGACTTCATTATCCGCCTGCTTAGATTCCAACGAAGAATCCTCAGCAGCCGGTGATGCCAAATGAGCACCCTGGTTTTCTCTGGCAAACTTCTCCAAGTTTTGTAGCAGGAGAGGATTGGGAATGCTTCCAGGAAATCCAGCAAAGAATGGGAATCCAGGAAAAGGTAACTGCATTTGAGGTGGCGTGTTCAGCATGAATTGGTTGAGCGGGAATGGTAACATCTGTTCATGTTTAGGAGAATTTTCTTCCAGAGCTTTCTGTTCTTGTTGCTTCACCTTCGGACCTCGCCTTGTACCATAAACATCGATAATGGGCAGAGGATTTGGAGTACCATCTGGGTTGAGTACCATGGCGGGCTTGTGTCCGTACTTACGTAGGTGGAGCTTCAGGGAGTGACAGTATTTGGTTGCGTAGCTGCAATCTGAGCAGCGATACTGATACACATTCGAGTGCGACTTCAAATGCGAGTTCAGCATTGACTTATTCACGCAAGAATAGTTGCACTGGCTGCACTTGAACGGTTTGGATCCGAAATGGTTGCGTAGATGGTACTCCAGGTGATGTTTGTATTCTGTCACGAAAGGACACTTGGGACAAGTGAGCAGCTTGTCAGCTTTTATATGCCCCTTATTGTGTTCCCAGAAGTCCAGTTTTGTGATGGCTACGAAATCACACTGCTTGCATTTGAAAGTCTTTACTTTGCCATGGGAATTGACTTTGGGGATCTTCAAGCCTTGTTCGTCATACTCATCTATGTCGTTGTCAGATTTATTGTCATCTTCGCCGGAACATTCGCTGAATTTCGGAGACAGTGCAGGGGGAAGGAACCCATTTTTTTCCAGGGACATTTGTAGTCGCCTCAAGGGATCTTCATGCTCTGTGAAATTGTTGGCATTTCCTTCGGCTGGTGATGCACATGGGGTGAGGGTAGTATGGTGCTCGGAACCATCAGTTTTGGTGTCGAGCCGGCTATTGGGAGATGCTAGTGGTTCTGAGCTCGGGGGAGTCAACGGGTTGTGGTGATCGTTGTTGTACCTCATCTGATCTATATTCTGATGCTGATGGGCGTAGAGGGACTGACTCGGTCGCGTCATTGGAGTAGAGAAGTAGGCTGGATGGTGGACTGTTACATCCATCTGGGAAGTAGTAGGGGAGGAGTAAGGGATGTTGAAGTTGTCACACTCGCTTCCTGGTGATGAAGAGGCGAAGTCACCCCCGGAGCCCATACCTGAGTCGTTTCTATCCTCGTGGTCGATGGGTTCTCGTTTCTGCAAAGAAACATTGAGAATCAGTATTTCTGTGAGTTATAAAAAGCGTCGTCGTATACTCTGGAGGCATTTTACAGCGATTGAAAAATGTGTATTTATGTAACAGGGTCATTATTGCTGCTGGGATCGAAAGACAGTTTTGCGTAACACGAAGAAACGTAAAATTTAAAAATAGTCTGCAATTAAAATAGCGTGTTTGTTTATGTTCTGGATAAAAAGAAAAAGTGCTACAAATGGGTCACAGAAATAGTAGTTCTGTTATGCGGATATAACAGAAAATGCATGTTGTCTTCCAAGATATGCAACAATGATATAATGTGTGTTGTTGACATTCGTCTCAGAATATAATTGATAAAAAATGAAAAATATTCAAGTTGAGCTCTATATTCCGTTATAAATAGATGAAAAGTTTGAATTAATTGAATGCATCTGTTTTTTAATTCAATCAATATTTATATCAATTGCATTTCATGTCATTCCTTCTCATACTTACTAATGATTTTAGAAATATTCGGATTTGACAATTTAGAAAACATTCTGAGGAAAGAAGAAGAAATTATACTCCAGGTCGACCACAAAACTATTTTCGGTCATCATCGGACACAAATAATTGAGAATATAATATTTGTATGTATGCATCCCCAAATTGAAGTTAGACAATGAAAAATTATATCAAAATTTGAAAACAGTAGTGAACAAATTTCACAAAAAAATCAGCCATGTAGTTTCTGTATAGCAGAAGAATGTTTCATTGTGAATTTCAACTTCTGCTTTTGCAGATGTGATACAAATTTTCATTTTCGAACATAGAGGGCCGATGATCCAAACTGATCAGCAACTGTCAATTTTTTTCAAATGACACCAAGTTATTTTTAATTTTTTTTGAAGTTTACTTTTTCACAGTACAGTGATGCATGCCAAGTGGACTTTTGGACAAATTCAGTTGAAATAGATAATGAATCCTCAGCTGACAAAAAATATATATTTTCATAACATTTCGAAATGTATCATTAAATGCGGCAGTAAATGTCATCTAAATGCGGCAGTAAATGTCATCTAAATGAATATCAGTGTTTCATTTGTTAAATATCACAACACGGCATGTAATTCCAAAGTGTACGCTATCCCTATACTTTTATGTGAAACTAACGATACCGCAAACCACATTTTCATAATACGCTTCGTTTTTGAGATACAGGGCAAAATTGAAAATGTTGCATTTCGGGATCCCCCTGTATATCAGCTATTCTTCAACTTGAAAAAGTAACGCACAGTTATGTTCGAGGTAATGTTATTTAAATGGAACACCAAGATATTTTTTCATATTCAAAACATTGATGCTTTTCGCTTTTCAAACATATAAAATACTCATAATTATCTAAAAATGAGCGACTATAGAAATAAAATGAGTACGCCACTGTATTATACGTGGAAAATTATATGAGGCTCCGTTCTCACCCTACCGATAAGTTGAAAAGTAACCAAGATCAGGTGGTGCTCAATTTTCAACTTCGACCTGCATCTCAAAAACCTCCATTGAGCTAGCAGAACCACTTCGTATCACAAAACAAATCATGCCATAATTTAAGGATAATTTAAGGCTCTAATCCTAGCCTATTGCCAATTTTTTCGCACATTGTTTTTTAAAGAAAATCATGGGTTTAGCTAGCTTAACCGTTAAGTTAGCAGAACCAAATCTCAAACAGAAGGAATATAAGAATATTGGGTACACCATAATTTGAGGCTGATTTCAGGCTCTTCATTGAACCTATTATGGATTTTTTTGGAAATCATTTTCTCCAAAAAAATTCCCAAATCCAATATAAACATGGCAAACCAATAAAAGGTCAAACACGAAAATAATTATGCCATAATTTGAGGCTAATTTGAGGCTCAAATCCTAGCCTAGTGCTGATTTTTGTGCACATTGTTTTTTTAAAAAAATCATGGGATTTTCTAGCTGAACCGTTACGCTAGTAGAACCAAAGCTCAGATAGAAGGAATATGAGAATATTTGTATACCATAATTTAAGGCTTATTTAAGGCTCGTCAGTGAACCTATTATCGTTTTTTTTGAAAATCATTTTCTGCAAAAAAAATCCCAAATCCCACATGAACATGACAAACCAATAGCAAATCAAAAAAGTTCAATCACGAAACTGATTATGCCATAATTTGAGGCTAATTTAAGGCTCTAATCCTAGCCTATTGCCGATTTTTTCGCACATTGTTTTTTAAAGAAAATGATGGGTTTTGCTAGCTCAACCTTTAAGCTAGCAGGACCAAATCTCAAATAGAAGGAATATAAGAATATTAAGTACACCATAATTTGAGGCTGATTTTAGGCTCTTCATTGAACTTATTATGGATTTTTTGAAAATCATTTTCTGCAAAAAATTTCCCAAATCCAATATAAACATGGCGAACCAATAAAAGGTCAAACACGAAAATAATTATGCCATAATTTGAGGCTATTGCCGAGTTTTTTGCACATTGTTTTAAAAAAAACATCAATGGTTCTTCTAGCTGAACCGTTAAGCTAGTAGAACCAAATCTCAGATAGAAGGAATATGAGAATATTTGTACACCATAATTTAAGGCTATTCTGAGGTTCTTTGTTGAAAAAAACAAGAAGGACTGTGAAAAGTCTGTTTGCGGCATTAATCGGGAACAGGACACACTGTACATTGAGTTTATATGGTTGCCGAGATACCTTCAAACAACTCAATATTGATTAATATTAAATTATTAAGAATCAGATAGCCTACACCGTACATCGAGCCGTACATCCATATTCCATGGTAATATTTTGCTACCATTTTATTTTTGTGATGTGTTTCGAAATTATGTCAAAATTTTAATGGAAATTGGGAACTAAAAGTTCAATGACATGCAGAATTTGAAATTAATAATGTTACCCTTTTGATAATCGAGGCATACAATATTCATACTGGCATGTATACATTCTTGAGTGAAAAAATTGATTAATTATCACGTTAAAATGGTAAAATAGCCTTTATCACTCACACAATATCAGGCAGTTTCAATAAAAAACACACGAGGATCCAAATGGGAGGAATAAAAAATTATACACAATTTAGGTGATAGTATATAGGTATAAAAAGTGCATAGAAGATAATCTCAAAAGTAGATCAAGTAGATCAGAATTATAGTATGAGAACATGGGTAATTAATTTTCGCAGAAGATTAGATATAGAAAATTGATTTTCGATAGCTTGAAACATATACTCTGCTATAGCATCTGTCGTATAATTGATAATAATAGTTATTTATAAGTTTTAAGTTTATCTATATAGTTGTATTTCTCGATTTGCAAAAGGCGACAAACCCTAAAGCCTTCGAATATTTTTAAGATCTCTACTGTGGTCCCCTATTTATAATACCTTTGATAATGTACAATAATTTGGAAGTGTATGAATTTTGAATGAACATCATAGTTCTATAACTACAAACAATTGAAACAATAACCATCCTTATACCATAATCTATGCTTATACCCTTCTTGACTAGGCGCTGTATTACCAGATTGATTATCATCAAACAGTTGAGGAACAACAATAGTTGATTAAATAACATGAGTACTTACTGGTATTACAGAGTATTGCCAAGCTGAAGCTGGTGATGAAGGTTCCATCAGCATATTGGGTTGATATCCTGCCAAAGGACGAATTCCTCCTTGCACACAAGTCGATGTCATCTCGTAAGAAACACCACCTCTCATTTCACTGTATGCTCCAAATACTGAAAAAAAGGACACATCATATTTTGTTATCATTGCATAAGTATCATTCTTTTGATTATTTGAAGATCTCCGACATCGTGCAGCTATTAGCTTCCGAGTATTTTGGTATAATTGAAATATTCTCGGAAATATCAATAGTTATTGAAATCAAAAGGAATTGGTTATCATGAAATTCGCGGTAACTGTTAGTATAATAATTATTATATTAGTACATCTAAACATCATCCAAAATTCCCAAGGGAGATAGAATTCAATCACGAAAACTAAGGGTTGTCGATAAACATAAAAATCAATAACATCCTGTCAATATAAAAAAGACATCTTCGTACAAAAAACTAGATCATACCTAAAGTTCTTTCTGTAATCCAATACAAACAAATCTGGAATCACACACTAATGAGTATATCGCTTAAAAAAAAATCACTGATAAGGACAACAGTTCATTCAAAAGCCGGGGTCACATTAACACTACCATCTGTATGGAAGGACTGAAACGAAGTAAAATTCTATAACCTGACCATACCGATCTAGGAGAATAAAATTGTGTCCACTCCCCCGCTAGGCTCGACTATTTACCCCTCCCACTTACCCCCACCACCGGCCGAAGAGCTTTCCGAAGCTCTAGGATTTACGAGAATTATTATTATTATTGAGGATAGAGCACCAGTGCTGCCAATGTGCGGAGGATCCTCCGAAAAGGGGTTGTTTTTGGCGTTAGAGGTTTTTTAGGAGGAGGATTCACAAAAAGCGGAGGAAAGGGGTTTTTTTCAGCCATCACTGTAACTTTGTTACTCAACTTTAGTTGGGGCTTGCGCGAGCAACCTCTGACCATGATTGCCATGATCATGATCGAACCCTCCGTGAGTCTATGAAATCGGGGTCTGTGTTCTTGTTCTGTGCTTCTGTGGTGGTAACATGAATAAATAACCGTCGGTTTTAGTTTTGTGGTCGGTGTCAATGTCAATGGTGTGAATGATGTCATAAATCTCTTTTACACTGTCACAACTCACAACACAACCAATAACAATAAAAAAATAATGATATCAAATAAAAATAACAGATTTTATGAATATTTCCAGTTGAATTTTCATTACTCATTGGGTCATTGGCATCATATCTCTCGCTAAATACGGATTCGGTAAGGAAAATCCACTGAAAAAATGTATATGCTCAAAACCAGTGTTTGGAAAAATACGTAATTCAATGAAAAATTTTAATAACAAATGTGTAGTTTGTTTATTTTGTTTTTTCTTTGCTTTTTTTCACATATATATGATTGTTCGAAAATAAATAATTTCATTCATCAATCATGTTTTTCATTCAAGATTCAAAATAAATGTGTAGAAAATAGCATTTTATCCACAGAACATAGAAAACACAAGAGACCAGAAGAGCCCACAATGTCACAGATTCATTTGTTTCACGCGTCTCACGGAATATTTTTCGACGAGAATGACTTATTGAACATTTATGTGACGTCAGATTCCGTTTCATTTCATACCTTTTATAACCGTGTCGAGAAGAGGAGGTTTTCGTTCATTTGCGGAGGATTTCACGTCCTAAAGAGAAGGAAGGGCTCGAATTGCATTGGCAACACTGTAGAGCACGAGCTTTATGCCAGATTAAAAAAGTAATCGTTATTTTGAGGAATGGAATCATAAACAGTCAGCAATAAAATGAGGGTATTCAATTGTTATGCCAATAATTGAAGTCAGATTGTTGTTGATAGCTTTTGGCTCAAATTCTCAAATATAGCGTTTTGGGATTTGAGCACTCTTGATATAATAAGCATTATATCTACCGGAGAAATACTCAGATAGGTTTTGAGCAAAGGTTTTGATACTCCATCCATGATAATCCATCAATATCGATTTTGATGAGATAGCTGGAGGTGAAGAGTATTCCATGAACTAAAAACTGAAGAGAGACCTTTAGTCAGTCTCCAATGCGCTCATGTATACCCCATACCTATATTATTTATTATACTGTTTCTTAAAATTTATGATGAAAATATTCATCAAAGCTGAAATTAATAATAAAACATATCAGAAAATTCTACTATATAGACAGTTTTTAATGTAAGTATAATGGTGTCATAACTTCTAGAATAATAGGTGTATCAAAATAAGAATTGATGTAGGTAAATGAAATGTGAATAGGTGAGAGAGCATAGTTTCCATAGCCCTGGCCCTTTGCGGTTTCATTTGAAAAAAAAAAAAGATTTCTTGATCAAAATGTGTTGTGACTAAATTGATCCTTAGATAAGTTACACAAAAAATAATTTTTCAGAAAAAATAATGTTTCTCTGACCTGTGCGATTCATCGTGAATAGCCTTGAAAAAATTAATTTCATTTTAATTTTTTCAAAAACATGACATTTTTTTTATACAGAGTTGGGCAGAAGTATGGAACCGGGTGAATATCTCGGTAACCGTTTGTTAGATTCTTTTGAGTATATGTACAGGGTGATTTCAAAACGTGGTGGATTTGAAAATGTTATCGTGGATGGTACCAATTTTGCAGTTATTCCGGAATTATTTTCAACTTCCTTATTTTAAATAGAACACCCTGTATTTTATTGAATTTTCAGTTTCTCCCTGAAAAGCTGATTTGATCGATTCATCACACTTGGGGTCTTTCAACTTTAGGATTTTTTTGTGTCGAAACTATTCATTATCGGTCAAAACGACTCTCTTGTCCCTTTCTTTACTTTTGATCTACTATCTATTGGTATTTAATGGAAACAGATACAGGGTGATCAGATTTCTGAATCTTGAACCACCCTGTATTTGTTTCAATTAAATGTCGGCAGATAGTGAATCAAAAGTTGACGTACGGACACGTAAGCCGTTTTTACCAATAATGAATAGTTTCAACACAAAAAAATCCTAAAGTTGAAAAATCTCGAATTTCAGTCATTCTTGCTAGACCCATAGTGTGATGAATCGATGAAATCAGCTTTTCAGGGAGAATCTGTAAATTCAATAAAATACAGGGTGTCCTATTTGAAATAAAGAAGTCAATATTAATTCCGCAATAACTAAAAAATGGCAACATCGACGATAACATTTTCAAGTCCACTACGTTTTGAAATCACCCTGTACATATATTTAAAAAAATCTAACAAACGGTTACCGAGATATTCACCTGGTTCCTAGATTGTACTTGTTTAGACCATGCCAATCTTCAATCATTATGTAAAATATATACAGGGTGTTTCATTTGAGCAAATTTGCTGGTATTTCCACAAAAATCGGAAGTAAGCCATCTCGGATTGTATAATGTGAACAAATCCGAAATGGTGGAAAAGTGACATTTTGTAACCTATCAACAGAGATGAAATGTTCAACTTCAAACTTTTTTCCTGTCGCAGAAAAAAGATATACAGGGTGGCATTGAAATATGTGCAAAAATATTTCAAATACTGAGAAAGCTCCACGTGTACTATCGAAAGGCAGTAATGAACAAATTTGAGGTTAGACCCCTTTTTCCAGCCAAAGTTTCACTCTAGCAAATCTGACGTCACCTCTATTCAAATTTTTATGCGGTAGGCACAATCACGCGGAGTTCAATCATTTAAATTGTTTCAAAGTGGCGCACTTTTTTTCTGGTATTTTGTTCAATTTTTGGGATGAAATTTCTCGTAAACTAGAAGAATTAAAAAAAATCTGACATTATTGGAATATTCCTTATACTGTATCATACGCTGAATATGTGCACTTATTTCAAAAACACCTTGTATTTTAACTGAGCTTCATTACAACTCTATGTGCATCGTATTCCGAAGTTGGTCTTATATTGACAATTAATGTATTTTTATTTCTGTCGCGAATGAAGTAACTGCAAAATCAAAAATATATTAGAAAAAAAAATAAGCCACTGTTAACCCTATAAGAACTTAAAGTCATATGTGTCCTACAAAAGAGTTTTTTGCTTTATAATAAAATTTTGACATATTTAATCGAATTCAAATACGTTTTTGCCGGACTCTAAGACCAGATACTAGGTTTCACTCAGATTGAAGGAAAGAATTGCATATTGTATAATATTATTATTAAAGTTTCATTTTTTTCCGAGATTGTTCACTTTCTTTCTAATACTGAACCTCGACGACTCCAGAAATTAAAGATTTTGGTAGCATTGAGAACAACGTGGAAAAATTTCTGCGATACATTTTATCATATATATCAACTTCTTAGACTAGAAAGTACAAGAAACTAAACATGTAGATATGTTTCATGGCGATGTTATCTCATATTCTTTCAAGTTTTTTCTATTGGATCGAACAAATTATAGATTTGCTTACCATACCTATTTCAGAATGATGATACCTAGTGACTTACATCTAGATGAACTATGATAATTTTGGAAAACAACCGAATGAATAATAATGTCTGCAATGTCAGACAATATTTACGTTCACCATACACAGTCGGGAAAAGGTGATATCAAATTAAGCAGACGTACTAGTTTATCTTGATTTTTTTTAAACACTATCAGTAACTTTGAGACTGTGAAACAAGGATGAAACATAGTTTTCTGATATAAACTGAATAAATGCGCAGTTCACTACAAATCGATTTATTGTGTTATACAATCATATACCTATTCCTTGTGAAATTGTTCATGGAATAGACCAAGATCGGCCATCTCTTATTTTAATCTTCTTATATTTCTTCCATGTATAGTATTATTGTCGTTGTCGAAGCTTACTGCCTACCGGTTAAAAGTGGTAAAAACCCTTTTAGGAAAAGGGACCATCATACATATTTTTAACCATCTACCTGCTTTTTATAATGAGATGGTACAACCCCAAAATTTGACTATGAACAACTTTCTCGGTACCAGATAATTTGCATTCAAATTTTACTACCAGTCGCAATATCCAAAAGTCAAACCAAATTTACAACCCTCATTATCATAAAACATGTTGTGGAAAAAGACATTGGTGAGCGAGTTGAATAGGAATCTTCCAATAACCATGCTCAAGAGTGACTGATATCTATAGGTATATCTTCAAGAATTTTCTTTCAATTTCAACATTAGATACTTATTGTTGGATTTATCAATTTTGAAATCAGTTTGTGTCGTCAAGATAACATTTTTTCATTTCAACTAATGTCGATGATATAGATTATCGAGAATTTTCATTAGGTTTGACTTTTTCAAATCACCAATTAATTCCAAAATGCCACCTTCTGATTTGTTTTTGTGAGAATTAATTTTTTCTGAATTATAAACGAACTTGGCATACTCTTTCCTATATTTCAAATCGAAATGATATTTAGTACAAAAGCGTAGAAAAGCCACTGTTGTGTGTATTTATATTTTATTTCTTTATTCAGACTTCAAAGTCTGCAAAAAACATTGATAATAGAATTTTTGTCAACTACAACTTCAGCGTCCTCCATATTTTTTTATGCATATTCTTCTCATTTTATTCTAATGGAGGATCATTGTTTGGAACGTTGTCGAAAAAAACATCAATACTCCCTCATAATGATTCATGATAAATGCACTGCATGATATATTTCTCATTCTACGGAATAGGTATCAACTTATAAATCAAGTGAA